GTTTCTAAAAATGGAATTGCAAGCGTTTTAAAGCATGCACACCATCAAACTTCCGTGAAGAATGTCTTTAAATTAGACTCGGTTACGAAATTCAGGTGCACGGTAGCCTCCTGGTCCGTTTACCTGGCTAGTCGGACAATGTTTATTGCTATTATATTATGCTTGATAATTTTGCGGCCAAAAAGTGAATTATACAAACATCTAAAGTTACGTAGTATAATGTACCTCGAATGAACTCAAAGAAACAATTGATAACCTTTCATAATGATAACTGTTTATTTCTTGTCTTTTCTACATCTATCTCGATCTTTGTTTTGCAAATAATAGAATTAGTTTCTTCGAAATTGTTAATTCTTAATTAATTGTTAATTCTTTTGCAACTATATTTAATTGATAAATTTATCAATTATTTCAAGCACAAAAATTTTATATTTATATTAAAAAAATTGTTTTTCATTGAATTAGGTACATAGATATAAAATTTCGATCATTCGATTAATCGAATCGAATTAATCAGATCGAAGTAGCCAATCGATATCAATCAAAATAAAATTTCGAGTAACTTTGTCAATTTCCATGATATAATGGTGAAAGTTAAAGAATATATATAGAAAAAAATAAAAATTCTATTTTAATATGTTTTATGTAAAAAGAATCTAAATAATTTGAGATATTCTTATGTCCACCATTTTTCTTTTTTATAGACATATAAATATCTGTAAGTAATGAGTTATATTATATTCTTTTTTCAACATATAATTTATTATTAAATTTTTTCTCAATCTTTTGAAATATATTATCTAAGATTTCAATAGAATTTCAAATTGTTTTAAAATGTCCATATTGAGTATTCTGTCAATTTATTTAAGGTGCATTCGTCATAATATTTTTATAGGTTAGATTGGATAACGTCCCTCATACGAATTTATTCGGTACGTTAATTAATTACGCGGATACGACGTCGTTAATTTTTCTACGCTTGACGGACCTTCCTTGCCAACGATCGCACAAGAATAAAGTTTCGGAAAAATACACGAGCGTAACGAAGTAGTAATGCCACCGCGGAGTACAGCGTGTTATGCTTCGGCACACACCACTGGCCACGCACTCTTTTTCTATGACCATTCTAAAACGAAAGAAAGAAAAAAAGGAGATCGTGCGAAATCGTGACATCGTTACTATCTCCCATGCTTCAATAGCTAATTTATCCAATTTTTCGATTCGCTGAAATGAGGCTCAATGAACTATTTCGACATTATTATTTCATTTAAGTTGAAATAGAATGTCAAAATGAAAATAAAATGCTAAATAATAATAATTTTCAAATATGTAATCGCGATCGTATCATATTTCACGTTTTTTTTCTTTCAACTATGAGTCACGATTAGTTAGGTTATAATATGTTTACCATGATACGTTTACTGTAATTAACATGGCATATATCATATCGCGTAGCATTTTAATCTATTTTTGATCATACATTGTTAAACTTTCAAGTCTTTATAAAAAACAGAACATTAATAATGAATATTTTTCTTCTATTTTACTTCTATCGATGTCTTTTTTTTGTTTTTCTATATTTCTTCTGCATATATTTATATTTTTATTAAATATTATTAGAATTTATTTTAATTAATTATTAATTATTATAATATATATAATTTCAAATAATTAATTGAACAAAGAAATGAAGATCATTAAGTATTTAATATTTATTTTAAAATTATTATTTTAAATAAGTTTCAATAACATGCAACCGGTAGAGGGTTCTTTTCTCAGCGGAATCTTTATGTGGTCATTAGTGTTCTCGTTTTCAAGCCTCGTGTTTCGTATCCAAGTAAAAGTGAGTCCTAAATAAACGACATGCATGACCATAAATATACTTCCCATGTCGACAAAAAAACTCATGTCATTTAGTGAATTGTCCGTGTCTATCATAAAATTAAAAGATATAAGAAAGAGATAGGATAAAATGTTTTATATACGATAATCGTTATTATTTTTATTTCTAACCTCCTTTGTACCCTACTAACCGCGCGTCATTCTATTTAAGTCAAGGAAGTGATGAATAACATGCGAGTTTGACATAATTTTCTCAATGAGTGGATCGAATGTCAAGATGTAAATCTTATATCTAATGCGTATGTGTATCTATTAATTTTGCTGTCTCAAAATGTCCGAAATTCTAAACACGACCGTTAACCTAACGTTTAACTCTATAATTATAGCGCAACTTGACCGAAAAAATTCTCTTTCTCTTGCCCTCGTCTTTTCTCATTTTATGAATTAATGTGTACAGGTTTGACATCCAGCTGTAATGTCAAGATCTTCTTATCTGCTAGGGATAATAGTAAGTTTCCTTAATGAGAGTTATTAGCAGATAATATGAGGATTCGAGTGTTTCTTTTATGAATAGTAAGTAGGTTTTTCTTTAAATAAAACTTGTAACTAACTAATGTAATATTATGATTGTAATTAATATTTTAAAAAAATTTTTTGTTCAAGCAATATCTACGTAAATATCTTTAGTCCTTTAACAAAGAATGAAATAATGATTAAAATGAGTGTTTTTGTTTATTCTATCTTTTTATTATTCAAATTTTTATTATTCTATTCTTTTTTTAAATTTATAACATATCCTTGATAAATCCTTGCAAAATTGTAAAGCGTTGAAGGACTCGCTCACTGTTTCGCTTCAGTTCATGAGGAGAAAAATGATCGTATTTATATAAATCAGCAATTGACAACTTTTAAGCGGTACAGTGTATCGAATGTATTCCAATGATATTGTTTATTTTTACGCAATATATTTGCAAAATGGTAATAGTGGCATAGCTACAATGTAATTATAAAAATGTTGCAATGGCAACCGGTGCAACGAACTCACGAATGTAAGTACATACCGTGCAATGATATTGCCGGTGAACAGTCCAATTGTTATGAAACATCTTTCTATACGTTTCGTGAACAACTACCTAGTCGAATAATTATTTCGTCCCAAAACAAGCGTGCACTATATTTACGATTATATTTATTTTATAGCTTTTATATAAGTTTTTATATTAATTTTGATATTCAAAATTATTCTATTGTAGTTTTTTTCATGTTGAACAAGACAGAAAACTTTCTAAAAATTATTTGTACGCAATATTTTATTCTTTATTCCAGAAATTCTTGATGCTATTAGGAACTCTTATAATCTAAAGAATGATTGAAATCACATATAATAAATGATATACGTATAATAATATTTTTCTTAAATTAAAAAATTTTTCAATGAAACACTCGATTACGATAAAAATGAGTTAAAGAATCATGATGAGCTTTCACGACATCTGTACGTATATTTTTTAATTTATAAATATAGTATAAACAGATAAATATGGATAGAAAGAGAGAGATAATATTTTATACAGGGCCATGGCGCAATAAGTAAGCTGCATGAAAATAATATTATGTAAAATCCGAGCAAAAATTTCAACCACATAGAAAAACTTTTGTCGAGAACCTCGAGGATACCTACTTACCTACGCTACCGAGGAATTGGACACCGACTTGGCCGATTAGTCACGATCGATCGTTCTCAAATTGTCGCTTCTTTTTTTGATTCGTAGCATGAATTTATCGGTATTATAACATGGCAAGTACTTATTTATAATTTATTTACACATTGTCAATTCTGATATATCGGAAATCTGACATAGTCAAAGTAACTAAATATCTTTCTTTCGTATACCGATTCATTCAAGAATGTTCGAAGATAGGATCGTGGAATCGTAAGAACGTGGAAACGGCGTAAATCATTAGCAACAATATAACGATCGATCAAGAGAGCTGACATACACGAAAAGAAGCCAGCGGCAAGTTGCAATAGGGCCAATTTCTCTTTATCAATGATCGCCCTGTGGTTTTCTCCGTGGTCATAGAGTATGTGTACGTAACATGGAATACGTTGGTGTTATATGTACTAGCCAACGCGTAAACTGTTGCTGCGTGTGCGTACAAGTTCAAGAACAATGGCAGTTCACGATCTGTATAATGTATGTAGTAGGTATACACGATTTTACCATGCGACGGTACTGGCTCATTGTGGTGGCGGTGGCGGCGGTGGCAGCGGGCAGCTCTCGTGCCACTGACCCACAAACATACTTACCTATGTTATACTATGCTGCTATATACATCGTTCTGCCGTTGTCGCTATGCTTTAATGCCCGTACACACCGCGTTTCCGCCTCTCGTATACACGCTTGTGTACGTCGTCCTTGGAAGATTTACTTGCGGACCTGATTGCAATCCTGATGCTGGTTCGTGAATTTTTCATTCGAGCCTGCACCACCGTGAACCGAAAGTAACTACGCCTCGAGCAACGAGGGCGATAATTTTACGGTAAATTTCTAAGAATTTATGTTTATGTTTATGTGTATGTGTATGTATGTTTCAATTGGGTTCGCTTTGATAGAATAGATTAAAAAAATTGGATTTGTTAAAAGAATTATTTTACTTACGATTTCATTTTACTTTACTTATTTACTTGTGTCCTCTGGCGTTATTAAAATAAATTGCGTTCCAGAATGCGTCACTCTATGATGAAGATTAGATTCGTATCCTATGACACATTAAAATTCTCAACGTTGATGTATCCGCGTTATGCATATTGATATTATATATTTCCTTTTCTTATTTTTTTTTTTTGAATTTTATTTTTGTTTTTACTTTCGTGTTACTTTACGATTATACATTTTAAATAATCATATTATAAAATTCCAATGAATTTTGATTTAAAAAAAACACGCTTAAATCTTTATAACAATGTATAAAAATATTGAATTAATATTTCAAATTAGAAATGTTTAAAAACTTGGGTATATAACTTTGTATATATAACTTTATTAAAAAGTTAAATAATTTGGTATAAAGAAAAGAGTTTATATCAAAGTAATTTAATTATGAATCCATTTCACACGAGATTCTAAGAATTGAATTCGCATTCGAATTTAGATCGCGCCAAAGTAAACTCGTGAAATATTTATCCGTGAAAAGAATGACAGATATCCGTGTATAACTGTATCTACAGAAAATGGTGGCCGCGTGTAATCCGCAACTACTTCACTCCCGCGTTTTACTCTCCATCTCAATTGTCCCACTTGGTAAACAGGACAAAACTGGAAGAGCAAGGCTGAAATCCTGCACGGAGAGGCGGAGAGCGGTGCACGAAAAAGAGGTAGTCGATACGCTCGACTTTTTGCCATCATCGTCGTGAATACAAGACGGCGAGAATCGTCACGATGGATAGCGGCTTGAAGCAACGGGATGGAAGGAGAAAATGAACAACGTTAAAATCGTGAGCAATTCGTTATCACTGTTGCGACCCACTCTTGGTTTCTGATACCAAACAAACTGAAAACAATCCTTCTTCCGCTTCCTATTCTCTTCCCTATTGTTTTCTTTGTTTCTAACCTCTTCTTCTTCATTTGTTTCAGACCAGTCTTGACTGTGTCCCAAGCGACCTAACCTTTTGAAAGCGATAGATCACAGGACCGAGGAGTATAATCGCACATGATATTGCATTGAGAAGAGGAGAAAAGACTTATTGTTGCGTTATTATTAAATTTTTAAATACATAGTAACCATTGGATAATAATGTAGATATTAGTGAATTGATTGAAATTCTTTTTATTATAGATGAAATGAAACAAAAGGATTTTCAAGATGATGAATAATTTTTGTTTCCATGTACAATAAGTTTTATTTAAAATTATTGGAACAGTTGATTTTGGAAAATTAAAAGAGATTCAGAATATCAGAAAAATACAAGAGAGGTATATATCGATTATGTTTGCATTCGTTTCGTTATACTTGTTAAAAACACGTGTTTATATCACTTTCAAACGGTCCATTTCATCTTTCATTGTATAAACTACAAAGAATCCCCCCGTTAATTTCGATTTTTTTTCTGCTCGTTCTACTTCCAGTTAAGATTATAATTAATAAAGAATAATCTCGGTAATCTCCTTCTTTTATCATGGAATTTAGAACATTTTTTGCCGGCGGTTCTTGATGAAAAAAAAACTTTACGAGAGGCAACACGCCACAGACAGGATTATTTTTACGATCGCGCATACCAGTATCAACCTAGCCGTCAATTGGCCTTTTTTTTTTTTTTTTTTTTTTTTTTT